GATCCCTCAGGCCAAGTGCAATTAAAAACAATTAGCATATGAATATGATCTGATGTCTCCTGGGAACAGAAAGTGCATTCATCAGAGGGAAGACCACACTCCGGGACGTTCAGGTGTCTTGTGGAGAACAATGGGGAGCTCAGGAGCTGCCCGTGTTGGCGGTGCTGGCAGGGAACTGACCCCCACGCTTGAACTTGGTTCATTTAAAAGGATGTAGGTGCCATTCACTGAAATGCTTTCTTTACAGGGGAGGGTTTATTTTCGAGTGTTCGCCTCTATAAATCTACTTTCTATTAGTCATGTTGGCCAAGTCAGCCTTTAAAATAAGAGCTAAGCGCTCGCTCCGGCAGTACATGTACTAAAATAAGAGTGAATGATTCCACATTTCTCCAACTCTGGATTTTCCTGCAATCTTCTGAGCGATTCCTGACCTTCTCACTATAGCTCCTCCAATGAGATGCAGAAGGGGTGTGCGTGTGTGTGTGTGTGTGTGTGTGTGTGTATGTGTGTGTGTGTGAGTGTGTGTGTGTGCGCGTGCGCACAGTGCCTGGGATGGAACCGAGGCCTCATGCATACTAAGCAAGCGCTCCACCACCTGGATCGGACCCCAGACCCAACACACAAGAAACTCTAGCAGACAAAGGTCAGATAAGCGCTTCATCTGCTACAAAAGCCACGGATTTGACAAAACTTCCCATGAGGAGGAGGCTGTAACTTTACTCACCAGAAATTTAAGAAATGTGTTTCAACTCGTTCTTTCGAAATCTCCCAAAGAGAATTTTTCAGAGTCAGCCACCTGCAGAGACAATTTTGAGCCAGAAGAGTCATTAAAGGGAGATAGCAAACCACTCAAAAGTAGGGACTTTGTCATTCGAACTCTGACCACAGGGCCAAGCACCGAGACATTTTGAGTGCTGTCTCCTCTAAGGTGACACTGTCACAGACAGGGCTGCTGTCCTGGGAGTTCTGAAGTGGACTGGTTAGGAGGCTGGGTCAGCTGTACCCACCAGGCCTGGGGAGCGGGAAAGGAGGGAGAAGAGGCACAGTTAGATGTCTGCTGTGGACTGCACCTCCAGGCCGCCCTGTGGCCCTGCCCCTGCGGTGGCTTTCCCACAGGTCTGCTCCGGCCCTGGATTCTCCTCATTAGCAGAGTGACCGTTAGTGGTGCCGCCTCCTCTGACTGCGTCTTCGCATACTGCCTAGAATTTCTGCTGTCCGATTCTGTTTTTAGCACCGTAGTTCCCTAAAGCCAAATTCGAATAATGTGTAGGCTTGACAGCGACACAAGGGAGGGGTAGAGGGACACAGAGATGAAAAGAAGGAGAGGGTGGAGCAGGCGACTTCTTGCAAAGGGCGGGCACTGACTCAGCAGACCGAGACTCTCGAGGCTGAGCACGGTGGGTGCCTCAGTGCCAGGCAGCTAGTCGAGGGCAAGCGGGCTCCTGAAGGAAACTTCAGCTTCCCATTTTTGTTCTGTTCTGGTCCTTGGCCGCCTAGAGAGTAGAAAGGATGACGGGGCTTTGAATCTGGTGACAGGTAGGCCCTGGGGAGGAAGGTTTTGGTCTACTGCTCTGTGTGTGGTGGGTGGGCAGCAGGGCAGACTTCCGGTGTGAACGGCAGAGTGACTGTGATGAGCAGAGGGTTAGAAAGGTGAGCGAGCGAGCCCTGGATCAGAGGGAGTCAGCATGTGGAGGTGCAGTGGTGGGCAGGCCGAGAAAACGTGCTCTCTTCCTCTCTCCCTCCCTCCCTCTCTCTCTCTCTCTCTCCTCCCTCCTGCACCTCTGGCATCGGCACACTCCCGTCTTTCATCATTTTGTGTTTGTCTCTTGTCCCCGATTCCTCTTGTGTTTTTATTTACTTAACTGTATCAAAACAGACGGCATAAATGTATTCTCTTGGGCCAGGGATTTGGCTCAGTGGTTCCGCCGCCAGCCTCACAAACCCAAGGTCCCAAGTTCGATCTCCGGTACAAAAAATAAATAAACAAACAAATAAATAATAAACAAAATGTATTCTCGTAACCATTTCTAGTAGTGTTAAATCTATCTGTACTGCTTTGTCGCCAACTCCAAAATTCCTCTCATCTTACAAAACCGAAACGCTGGCCCCATCCAATGCTAACTCCCCATTTCTCCTGTTCCGTGGCCCCCGCAGGCTGGGAATTTGGTGAGTGTAGAAACCTCAGCTAAGTGCATTCACTCGTCCTTTTGTGACTGGTCAGTGCCATCTGTGCTCACCCACGGGGTAGATGTTAAGAATTGAATTCCTTTTTAAGGCTTGTGATTGACAAGAAGGGTCTGAGCCCAGGACAGCGAAAGACTTCAAGAGATGGATGGTGGTGATAATCGTACAGTGATGTGAATGTGCTCGCTGCTGTTGAACTGCACACTTAAAAATTGTTAAAATGGTAAATCTTATGCCGTGCATATTTTGCCACAATTTTTAAAAATGGGTTTATGAGATCTTCGGGAGATGTGGTGAGCACAGTTTGAAATGAATTTGACAGGTGAATGCAACAGGGTTTGGGGGAGATAAATAAGACCAGAGAGCTCCCTGGCCTGTGGCTGGGTAGCTACGGTGGCTCATGGCTCCTTCAGCCCCATGGCAGTTCCTCCGGAGCTAGAAGGGCTCCTGTCAGCATTGTTGGTATGGAGATGGACATGGTGATGCAAAACTATAATTCCAACACTGGTGAGGCTGAGGCAGGAAGATCACTGCGAGTCTAGTCTGAGTTGAGTTCAAGGCCAGCCTGGACTACATCTCAAAAGACAAAACAATCCACCCCCCAGCCATACTGTTGGTACAGGCTGAATTGAGTATCCCTGATGGTCAAAAATAGCATCCAGGTCAAAGTCCAAAGCCCCAGCACTTCAGAATGTGACCATATTTAGAGTCAGAGTCTTTACGAGGGCTGTTAAATTAAAATGAGGTCTTAGGGAAACTCCTGATCCAATATTTCTGGTGTCCTTATGGTAAGAAGATTTGGACCCAGATGCATTCAAAGGACATGTAAGCATGAAGAGAGAAGGCAACATTTGTAAGCCAAGGAGAGAGGCCTGCGAGACCAAGTCCAGCCCGCTCCTTGGTCTCCAGCCCAGACTGCAGAACCAGGCAACAATAAACCCAGTCTACAGCACTTTGTTACAGCAGCTCTAGCAAAAGAATATGGTCACAATGCACACCTCAGTTTTATCTATTTAACACATATGTCCATAGAGCTCACCATGTCCAGTACTTTAAAAATAGAATCGAGGGTTGGGATTTAGCTCAGTGGCACTGGGCTTGCCTCACAAACCTAAGGTCCTGAGTTCAATCCCTGGCACTGCAAAAAAAAA